GGCGCCTGGGCCGGGCAGCCGCGCTCAGTGTCGGGGTGGAGCGGGCTCCGAGAGGAGGGGCGGTGGAGCGCCCCGCGAAGCCCAGACCCGACGGGGTTCCTCTCCCCAGAGGGGTTTGCCGGTGGCCCGGGGCGCCGCGGGGGCGGGGTGCAATGGAGGGGCCGGCTGAAAGGCCCACCCCCTTGCCCAGGAATGGGGTGTGTGTCGGTGTGGGCAGCGGCACAACAGTCGGCGGTCTCCCGAGGGGGGCGTGTGTGCGCGGAGCTCCGGCAGTAAGAACCGGGCTCTGCCGCGGTCGTGGCAGGGCGGCCGCTCGCGCACGCTGCAGCGCCCGTCGCCAGCCGGGAGACGGGAGGGAAGAGCCGCCTGGAAGGGAATGGCCGAGGGGGGCCATACTCCACCCCCTCCCGGGCCAGCCCTTCCCTCTCCGCCCGCCTCCCCGCCAGACCCGGAGGCCGAGGCGGGGAGAAACCGAGGCGCCTCTGGGGTGCAGCCGCGCCGAGAACCCCGTGTGAGCCGGGGCGGGGGCTAGCTCGGGGCCGGCTGGCGGGGAGCGGCTGGTTAATGATTGAATCGCCGGCTCGGGGCCGCGGACGCGCGGACCGGCGCTCGGAGGTCTCAGGCTCCGCCCCGCTGCCTGGAGCGCCCCCAGCCGCGGGTTCGAAACTGCCCCCCGCCCGCGCGGGCGCTGCTGGCCGGCGGCGAGCGGCGAGTGTCCGGGCCGGAGCGCCTGGCGGGAACCGCGAGTGGAGCCCGGAGGCAGGGCAGAGGCGGGCGGGCTTCCCCGGGGAGACTGAGCCCTGCGAGTGTTGGGGGCAGGGCGGGGGAGGGGGCTCCCCGCTAACTCGAACCAGATTCTTGTGTTTCCCCGATGAGACACTGCGACCTGGCTCTGGAAGTTTTTTTTTCTCCCCGGGAGAATGGCGGGGAAGCACCGCGCTGCTGCTGCCGCTGCCCTGGTCACCGCTGGCCACCCGGGCGGCCCTCCGCGGGCTTCTCGGGGCTCGGCCACTGAATGGGGAAAGGGTCCTGGGGGTCCCCGAGCTGTGAAGCCGCCCGCCCCGCTCGAGAGGGGTTGGGAGGCTCAGGGAGACGCCCTGGCCCTCACCCCCAGCTGCCATCTGGACCTGAGCAACCGTCCCCCTCGCCTGGCGTAAACAATGAGGGGCCAGGCGGCAGGGCAGGGGCCTGCCACGCAACTTCTTTGCGCTGTCTGGGTTTCTAATAACTCCCCACCGCCTCCGCCCCCTCTCCGAGGCCTGGGTGGAGGAGGGGACCACCAGCAGGATAGACTGAATTTTAAGAGAACAAAGAACACACAAAGGAAGAGGGAAACTGAACCCTGGATTTCCTCCCAGAAGCGGGGAGTTTCTGGAGCAGGGCCGGCCCCGCCAGGCCTGCCGGTAGCCCCGGAGAGCCCAGAGCACAGACACATCCACCTGGGACTGGGCGGCCCCACCCTGGTGGGACAGCCAGCACCCTGCGAACTGTGGTGGCGAACTGTGGGGGAGCCACGTGGGTTCCAGTGTCATCAGCGGCCCATGTGACCCAGCAGAGTGGTTTATCTCCTCGGGACTTGGACTTTGCCTGCCACTCCCGGAGGACGCTGCCCCTTCCCACGGCAGGGGTTGTGACCCCCAGGGGTCTGTCTTCCTGGCACCCCTGTGTCACAGTGAGCTGGCTCTCCAGAGGTGCTGTTTGGGGTGAGTCTCAGCCCCCTGCAGTCTCCGTGAGCTCCCGGGCACCCCCTCCTTGATAACTTCGGACTTCCGCTGGGAGCATTCCTTTCATTTCCTGGGGCGCCCTCCTTTTTTTTCTTTCATGATCCCTCTTTTTCCCTTTTCATTACCCTTATTCCTCCCCCCCCCCCATTCTCCCCAGCCTCCCAGGTGTGTGCCTCTCACCCTTCTGTCCTGCCCTCACTGACAACCCACAGACCAACACCACCCTGGCCTGGAGACCGAGGTCTCACAAAAAAGGGGGTGATGGGAAATGCTGAGCTGAGCGAGGGACCTTGTGAACCTTCTTTCCAAGGGAAACTTCCCAGAAAGGACCTTGAGCTGGATTCCACCTCCACCTTTGGAGTGGAGATTGATTTGTGTGGCCAGGACAGGCCCTGCCCAGGTGCGGCAGGCCATGTGTTTGATATCCCTGCCCTGCCCCTCCTCTGGATTGGTGGGAGTGGAGGGGCCAGAGGCCAGAGCATCAGAAGGATCACTCAGGGCCTGGACTGTTCCCAGCTCCCAGGAGTTTGTCCTCCCCTGGGGGAGGGGAGGAGCCTGTTCCTTGGAGGAACAGGATCTGGGTTGATGCCAGAGATAAGGCTGGGGGGTGGGGGAGAGGGTGGAGCGAGGGGGGTTGAGCAATCTTGCCCTGGAAACTGAGCACTGACCCAACTCTTCTGACCTGCTAGAGGCTCTTTCTTGACCTTGGAAAAAAGAACCCAGAGCCTGGTTCCTCACCAGCCAGCTCGGGACAGTGCTTCTGAGGTGCCCCAGGGAGACAGGCTCATGCTTGCCCCTCTGGCTAGGGCACTGGGAGGTCTGGGGGACTAGTGTGTGTGGCCGGCACGCCCCTCGGGCTTCCAGTGCCTCTAGAAGTTGCTTAGCCCTTCCGTTCCCACAGTCCCACTCTCGGGAGCACCAGTTGAAAATACACCCCTTTCAGAGCCTTGGGCTTCCTTCCAGCGAATGCACTTCAGAGTCTCCCCAGGCACTGCCAGCTGGCGGCTTGGGGCTCCTTGCCAGACTGGCAGCACTGGCATCCCAGGAACAGGGGCACAGCTAGGCTCCACTTACCTGCGGAGCTGGGGAGGGGTCTGCCTTGGGCGGAGTGACGACAGAGTGGGCGTGGCCACGAAGGAGGCCTGTTCTCACTCAGCCTGTAAGAGACCACTCTGCACCCCAGCATTTCCCCCTCACCCCGCACCCCCTGGTCCCCCCTGGCGGGAGGGCAGTGCCTGGCAAGAAAGAGCCCTGGATGTGTTCTCAAGGATGGCCCCCTCCTCCTCACCCTGGGTCAGCACCAGGGCAGTTCCCGCTTCCCAGGCGGCCTCTTCTCCACCTGGTCCACCCCATGCACTGCTCCCAGAAATCAGAAATCAGAGTCTCCTGTGAGAGAGCCAGGCCCGGAATCCTGTATCGTTAAAGGTTACTGGTAAAGAAGGGAGGCGTCCAGGTAAGGGGCGGGGTGGGGGTGGGGTCAGCCGGGAGGAGACCAAACCTCCAGCCGCTTGGTCCACCCCTGTGGGTAGGGATGGCCGGTGGAGGGCACCATCTAGATCTGGGCTTCAGAAGCTGGGAGGGCCCTGCCCCAGTTATCTCGGGGGACCTCCGTGGACTTTGAAAGGGGTCAGCCTGGAGTCTTTTGGATTAGGCATTTTGGAGAACACTGGAAGCGTGCACGCCAGGTCAGTGATGCGTCTTCTTGGAACTCAAGAGTGACCGCTGGCCGCTGTCACTAGCTCCTAGGATTCTCTGCCTCTGGGGTAGAAGGCATCACAGCCTCACCTTAGCAGACCTCCACCACCACCTCCAGGGCTCACCCTGCTTGTGATTAAGCTCCATGTTTCACGTACTGGTGTTAACATCTGTAATCTGTGTAAGTGAATAAGGAAACTGAGGCACAAATAACTCAGGCCCAGTGTGGCTTGGCCAGGTTTAAGTGGGGTCCCCTGCAGCCTCCCTCAGCCTCTGACAGGGCCCCGGTGGAAAACTTGCCAGCCTGCTCTGGAGTGAGCCCAGATCCCCTTGGCTCCCTCGGGGGACCCCGGAGTGTCCTTATGCTCCCCACTCCTCCGCTGAGCTCTGCCCCAGGAGAAAGGAAGTGAAACCCAATGCCACCTGGCAGATCTGATTTCAAGCCCAGCCGGTCCAGCCCAGCCGCTTCCTTCTGAGGCCTTGGGCTGGTGTGGGGGGGTGGGTCTCCCCAAGGAGACCCCTGCCCTGGGAACTAGGCCCCCAACACACCTCCCTGTGGCCAGCTGGTGGCTGTGTCTCCCGGTGAGGGAAGGGGGCCGACACGGGTGTCCAGGAAGAATCCTGTAAACAAAGTGACCAACGTCACTGGTCCTTGAGCCAGTGATGCCTCATCTTCCTGGTTCCCACATGTCACTTCCTGTGGCTCCCAGGTCATAGCTCACTCCTTTCTCTTCCAGCCCGGGTTGTTCTAACTCCCAGGGGACCAAGGAGCTTGCTCCCCTTCCCTCCTGCTGCCTCCCTTCCCGTGGCCCTCAGCAAAGGACTCTGGAGTGAGGAGGGAGGCAGAAGCAGGACAGAGGTGCAGGGGCTGAGTGCAGGGTTTCCAGCAAGGTGGGTCTCCTGGGGTGGGGCTGGGGGGGGTCGGACTTGTACCCCCAGGATTATCTGTCCTTTGCCGGAGTGCTGGGCAGTGGCAGAGTTTAAGTTGGGTTCTGTGTCTTGCAATTCCTGCGTAGTAACCATCCCATGTGAGAGGCCTGGTCCCCAGTTCAGAGGACTGACCGATGGGCCCTCGGGGAGAGGGAAAGTCCAAGCTTCGTCACCAGACCCAGGCGCATTCTCAGCTCTGAATCATTTAACTCTGCACTTCAGTGCTTTTACCGGCAAGATGAAGATGGTGATATTAAATCCATGGGATTGGGGCCCTCCCAGTGACCCCCACCACCAGAGAATCACATCAGGGGTTAAAGCACAGCACTGTGAAGCTGTCTGCAGCCACTGTGACATGCTGGATCTGACCAGGGAGCGACCCACGTGGCTCAGCAGAGGGAGACCTCCCGCTGCTCCCCTCAGCAGTGGAATTTGGTGGGTCTGTCTGTTCTGTGCCCCACTCTGTCTCTGGTGAATCCTTTTATCCCCCACACCTCTGGCCTGTACCCCAGCTCTTGTATGCATAAATTAAGTCAATCTTTTTTAAAAAGTAAATCCGTGGGATGGTTGAGGAGAATACCTGAGAGAGTCTTCAAATGCTGGGACATTACCTGTTTACCAAAAAAAAAAACAAAACAAAACAAAACCAGTGCAGACGAAAGCTTGGTGCAGAGTAAGCCTCACTGGATGTGAGTTTCTCTGCTCACTCCCCACCTCAGCCCTCCCCTGGTCCGGGAGGGTGAGCCTGGGGTGTCGTTTCCTGTGTGATGTTCTCGGCACACCACCATGGAGATGTTACCCAACAGCCCCCTGATTATACGCACATCACTGGGAAACCGCTTCAGTATTTTCCAGCAATGAAAAGGTAGATGATCCACCTTCTAGTGTTTTCCTGAGACTCTGAGTTGTTGGCATTTTCCCATAAACTAGTATGCCTGTAAATTTTTTTTTAAGATTTATTTTATTCATGCATATAAGAGCTGGGGTGTAGGCTAGAGATGGGGATGAGATGAGTGAGGGGATTCACTGGAGACAGTGGGGAGCAAAACAGGCTGATTGAAACTCTGCTGAGGGGAGCAGCAGGGAGACAGGAGCCGTCTGCCATGCCCTGTGGGTCACTCCCAGGCTGGGGATCGAACTTGTGCTGCAGGGGCTGCAGACGGCTTCGTAGTGCTGAGACTTAACCTTTGTATCACCAGGGAGGCCCAGTGCGGGTGAATTCTTTGAACATTATTGAGCATGTCTGTGTGACTGCAATAGTGAGCATCTTGATTAGTAGAAACATCTAGAATAACAATCAATAAGACTATAATACTAGGGTGGGGTGGGGATGAAAGGAATATTAAGCTAGTGGAACATAGGATTTTTACTTTTCTAGTAGCCTCATTTAAAAGATGAAAACAAGTCAGATTGTTTTTATGTTTTGTTTAAGCTGCTTTATCTCTGTATTGTCATCTCATCATTTAATTAGAAACCATATTAATATGATTTTTTAATATAAATTGGTTGTGGTTTTTTTTAAAGATTTATTTATTTATACATAGAGAACTGAGGAATAGGCCAGAGGTGCGGGGGTGGTGAGAGGATTCACGGGAGACAGAGAGGGGAGCAGAACATGCAGACCTGCTGAAATCCACTGCTGAGGGGAGCAGCGGGGAGACAGGAGAGGTCTGCTGTGCCATGTGGGTCACCTCCAGGCGGGGATCGAACTCGTGCTGAAGCAGTTGTGGCTAGCTTTGTAGCATGCACTCCAACCTGCTGCACCACCAGGGAAGGCCCCATATTAATAAGATTTTCCATTATTTTCATACAATGACTTCACAATCCAGTGTGTAGTTTATACTTCCAGCACATCTTCACTGCAAAATTTCACAAGTACTGAGTTAGAATTTGGATTTCAGAAAATTTACTGTTGAAAATTGAGATTCACATGCTCTGGTTGTTCTAAATATAGGTCTTCCATTAACTGAATCACATCAGTTTTTATATTTAAAATAAGAAAAATAAAATACTTAACTCCTTAGCTACCCACCAGATTTCAAACACTCACCCCCCCCGCCCCCCCTTCCTCAAGTGGCTGGCGACTGCAGTGGTAGCTGGATGGGGTTAGGCCATCGCTGGAAATGCCAGGAACAGAGATTTCTTGTCCCTCACAATGGCCCACACAATAATGGCAGACCTAGCAAATCTAGCAGATAAGAATGAGAAACACAGGAGACAAATTCTTGCTAGCTGCAGGTGAGGGGCTGTTGACACGCAAAACCCCAGAGATCCCCTCATAAAGTCCTTTAGCGTGGGGGAGATTGTACCTGTTTGATCAGATGGCCATCAATCATTTATACATCTTTAAACTG